TCTTATGAATTCTACAATTCATGGAATCTTCATGATAGATGAAAAAAAGGTAATGACATGAAAGCGATCTGAGATTCGGGTTACACTCTCATCTCCAACACAGCCTGAAGTAGGACAGTGAAAGCCAGCTAATTAGAGCGCTAGGTACCACCTGCAAGGTTTGCAGTTTTACACTGACTTTATTCACGATTACAGGCACCTGAGACTGTTGCTGATCTCCAGAAAGGTACAGATTTGCAGCAGCCAAGAACACAAGGACAATAAGGAACTCCATTTAATAGCAGGTTAAATGCATTTTCCAGCAGAAAATGGCAAATCCGTGCATACACACTGAACAACGTCTGTAGTCTGCTAAAGAGACATTGCTAGCAAATGCATTCATCAGTGCTATAAAACATTTCTAGACGGTCATTGTTTTATACTGCTCGCTTCGGTTTTAAGACCAACTCTTGAGGTCACTACTAAGTTTTTAGTTAGCCCTAAGCCAGGCAATCTCACAAGGAGTTTTTCCAAGGCTTTAATTTTGGTGAAACTGACCAAGAAAAACGCTCCTTTTCCATTATTCAGATCTGAATCCAATCAACTTGCCTCTATCAAAGGAAGCTGGAAGCCAACTGCATTCATAAAATGTAAATGAAAACAGAATTTTAGGCTTTCACTCCTAATGGGGGTGTGATGAAGTGGGAATGTTCTTAATGTTTTCGCTGAATGCTGTGTGAGTGCCTCAGTTTCCCCTATGCATTTCTCTAGCTTCTAGAGGTGTGGGATTGTTGCAGAGCACTAGGGGGCCAGTGTGATCCTGTCTGCACAGAGAATGGCCGACACCCTGTTTCCAGGCAACTAATGGCCTGGGCCCCTCCTCTGCAAAGGTGCCAGCTAAAGGTGTTGAAGTACAAAGAGATCAGGTGACCTCCTGGCTCAGGAAAGAGACAAAGGGAGAGGAGGGGCTGGAGAGTTTTCAGTTTAGAGCTGGCTGGGAAAATGGAGGGGAGGCCAGACAGACCTCCTGGCCTCCCCTGACCCCCCAAGATGAACCTGACCGAGGGGGTCCTGTTGTCTGTACCTGCAAGACCTGCCTTGAACTGTGTTCCTGTCGTCTAAATAAACCTTCTGTTCTACTGGCTGGCTGAGAGTCATGGTAAATCGCAGGAAGCCGAGGGTGCTGGGCCTTGTCTCCCGCAAACTCCGTGACAGGGTGCTGGGATACTTGGAGGTTTATTGGATGTGATGTGGTTCTCCCTCCCTGTCTCAAAAACTCCTCCATAGTGAGCAACTTTGCTGACTCTATCTGAATTCATTTTGCAGCCAGAAAAGACGAGATTTGTTTAGGAGAGTTTACCGTTGAAGGAAACAAGGAAAGGGGCTGTTTAGAAGAACAGTCCAGGAATTCCAACAGACAATGGTTCCCGCAAATGTGCACATTACACTGGCAATGTGCCATCCCTGCCATCTATAGCCTCTAACTACAGAGGCATTACACGGCATGAAAAATACATCTCTGCAGCACCTGCATTCCATTTCATCACTTACTATCCTCATCAGGTCCCCTGTAACGCCTGCTTCGAGGCTTTGTACACCCGTATGTGACCAGTAAATTAATACACACCCTAAACTGTTCTGTCAGGCAGCTAGTTAGCTAAGTATCTCCTCTAAGTGGGATGTGCTGTCATGTTCAGCAATTCATTACACTAAGCTACTCAAACAGAAGACCAGTACAAAGGAGTTCATGCGGCTTTAAAGCCTTCCCGGGTTGCATCCATCATTATGCATTTTCTCTGAGCCAGATGCAAACGGACTGAATGTTCTGCAGCTGTCATCACCTCTCCGCACAGTTTAAGACAGCTGCCCCCGAGCTGAAGTGTAATTCACTTTTCATGATGTATCTCCAAAAGACTGTGCGCATAAAGAATTTCATTGGGAGGGGAGCAGGCTTCTACTCCCGGAAAGAAGGAAACATGCTTTGCCGTGACACTTGATTTAGCATTCACAGCTGATTTTGAGCAGCCTTAAGTATGACACTGGCTAGGCCAGTGCAATGGTCATCAGCGTGCATCTGGGAGGTGCACAGCTGGCCTTGCTAGAAAAGGTTATTAATGGCATTTCTTTGGAGGTGGTTGGAAAGGGAAGAAAATCCGTAATAGGGATGTACCATGAACCTGCCTATGTCAAGGGCACCACATGGTAACATGTATAGAGAAAATAAACCCCCGTGCCTGGTTCCCTAGCAAGGCGCTGTTACTGATTCCTCCTCTGAGCAAAAGAGCAGGGCTAGGTTAAATATGTCCCTCTCAGGGCCGTTTGGCAGAGAGAGGCAGGAAACTTCCCTGCATGTGCTACCCACATGGCAAGGTCGAAACGTGGCAGTGAGAGGAGAAGCCACCAGGCGGTTATCCCATTTCTGCACAGGGAGCAGAGAACGGTTGAACAAGGGAGCGCAGTCAGGGGAGCTGCTCCTCCTGTGAATGACCTGGTGCTGTGCCCCTTAACCACTACGTCTTAGGAAATACATGACCGAGCTTAGAACTGGTGCTGAGGTTACGGTGCCAGATCTTCAGCTGGCACAAATCAGCATAGCTCCACTGAAGTCAAGGCAGGTGTAGGCTAAACATCAGAAGAGATGTCCCAGCAGATGTATCAGATTGAGGAAAAGGTGCCAGCCCCATCACTTGGCGCATTTAAAACTAGACCAGATAAACCAGCGAATGATGTGAAGGGAAAATCCAGCGTTGGCTGGGGACGGACTGGATGACTCAACAGGTCTTTTGCCAATCTAATTTCTGGGGCAATGTCAGGAATCAGGGCCTGCAGCAGAGCTGTTTTCCGGGCAGTCTCATCAGTACATCTGGTCTGCAGCAGCTGCCTGATTAGCCACACAATGTGACTGGTTGCTGAGGCCAGCAGGCCAGCTCTTAAGCCAGCAACAGCGGCAGCTCGCTGGCTTCTCAACACTCACACCCCCACTGTGCCTGCTTTACCTTGTTCCTGTTGCTCCTGCCTTGCACCCAGCCTTGCCTCTTTCCTGTCCCTCCCTCGAGCCCCTCCTTGCCTGAGACCCTGTTTGGTCAAGCTCCTGACCTCCAGTTTTGACCCCCAGCTGCGGCTCCTGACTACTGAGTCCAGCTCGACCCCCTGGCTCTGGTATCCAGTCCGTCCTCCGGTTTTGAACCCTGGCTCTGGGGACTGACTCCGGCCACTAGGCCTGCTGCCCGCTCCAGCCACGAGGCTAGACCACCCTCATCCCAGTTACTTGACAGTAGAATCCCAAATGCACTGTCAAGCCCACGTATGGGCCAAACAGAGAAGAACCACAGAGTTTCTGCCACGATGGAGGGTCCACACGGAAGGACTCTGTGACCCATGGACACTGCAGAGGAGACATTGTGGTGGGTATTTAATTACGGCTAGACTCTGGCTGGTACGCAGTAGTACGCAGTATCTGCATCGCTCCCAGCTGCTTTCTTCGTCTTCAGAATATCAGAATCCTAGAATATCAGGGTTGGAAGGGACCTCAGGAGGTCATCTAGTCCAACCCCCTGCTCAAAGCAGGACCAATTCCCAACTAAATCATCCCAGCCAGGGCTTTGTCAAGCCTGACCTTAAAAACCTCTAAGGAAGGAGATTCCACCACCTCCCTAGATAACCCATTCCAGTGCTTCACCACCCTCCTAGTGAAAAAGTTTTTCCTAATTTCAGTTTTTCATATAAGAAAACCCACCACTCAACTCCTAGCTGTTATTGTTGTGAGAAAATGTGAATTGAGTGTAACCAATGCAATGAAAACCACCTGCAAATGGCCTGAAACAACAGCTCCAAAAGGTGGGACTAGCCCCATTCCTTTCAGTGGGTCCTAAGTCAAATGTCCAATGAAGATACTTTCAAAGCCTACATTGTTACCAATTTGACGGCTCATCAAAGCAGGTAAGACAGGAGGCAAAGGATCACACTATGAAGAGCTACATAATCTGCTCCGAGTGACAGCTCGTTTTGGTGCTGAAGTGAGTGGGCTCGAGACACACTACTGCTCACTGCCTAACTCGCTAAGAGGATGTCAAGTCCGAAGAGCCCAGCAGAGCATGAATGATCATATTTTGAACATTGGTACAACCTACTGAAAGTGGCATCTCACGTTGGTGCCTCAAGTGGGTGGAGCTTATTTTCTGGGCAGAGTTTGGAAGAGTACCACTACCCTTCCCACACCCTATTTCAATTCCTGATACCCCACACGAGGCAGGGGTGGGGATGGGCATGCTAAGGGCATGGCCAGTGAATTTCAAGCACAGCCAAATTGCACTGGATGGGAGAAGTGGGCTTTTCCACTATTCCCATCCACAGCCTGCAGTAGCCAGGCACAAGCTGGCCATGTGGGTCAGCAGCCCCCAAAGCATAGGATGGGGCTGAGGATAGCTTCTCTCAGCCCTTCTGCACTCAGCAGTTTCCTTGCACTGAAGCATGCTGAGCTGAGCTGGGCCATGCTCCAGCCCATGCCTCTGGGTCAATGCTTGCAATTTTCTGAGGCTTTATAAACAATTTGCTTTGTAAGCCCATCTTGGTATTTGTGGACGTGCTGAAAAGGGTTGTGACGTCAATAACATAAGACACATACAACAGGATAGTGGCCATTTCAATCCCGCGTGTGGCATTTCCAATTCCTCCAACAAGCAGCCAAAACGCAGGAGTTAAACAGACCAGATGACCCACTAGCTGTCCCTTCAAACCCAACCAAGCTGTTGACTAGACGGGATGGGATCACATCCTAAAGCATCTCCAGCTGTTCAGTGACATGGTCTTATATCTCAGGAATTTACCACAGCTCTTCAAACAACACACACGATTAGGAAACCCTTGCAGTTGCTTTTGCGAAACAGAACCACATCGTTATTTCACAGGCGGGCTCAGAGCCACCCTCAGTGACGCTGGCTGATCATAAACAACCGACCCAGCTCACCGCAGCCCAGGACAATAGATAGACTTGGAAAATAAACAATAGAAAGTTACTCCACCTGGCACTTGCCGTGCACGCAGAGGTCAGTCTCATAAGGCCCACATGGAGTACCATCGAGAACCCTGTCTGCCACCAACGCAGGGGACTCCTTCCCCAGAGGAGAGCAGAAGAGTTCACACGGCTTATCTGAAAAAATACACAAGATCGGCAACTTCATTCAGGAGCAACAGCAGCATTTAGACAGAGCACCAGAATGTCCGATGGAACAAGATGCATGAATCTAGTAAGTACATAACACGGACTCTATACAACTACGCTGACAAGTACAGATTTATCGATAACGCTAAGCGGGCTCAGATTCTAACGGTCTCCGCTTTAAGGCTGCTTGACCCATTGTTTCCATTCAAGCCCATCATTCTACCTCGCCAAGATGCACTGTTTATCTGAAGATGCAGAAAGGGTTAAAAAGCGAGAGGTATGGGAGACTTGAATCATCGGTGATACTTGTCATTTTAGATCCGAATGAGTAGCTTACTTGAGCAATTTTTCCTTCTCTTTCTGTCAACTGGGCTTATATCTTTCCCTGCGTAATTCCAATGCACAATCCTTGGACTCTAGAATGGGCACAAGCAGCTCACTGGGAACATTTCATTTACAAAATTCAAGCTGGTTCTAAATGGACACATCGATCGTGCGATTTGTGTCTGTTTCTTGACTGAGCGTAACGCTTGAAACCAGGTTTCCAGTGAGCACATGTGTGTTCAGAAATTTAAAACTCATTTTGCACAAATATTTGCTAAAATTTTGCTTTGCTGCCAGCAAACTCGCTTGCTAGAAAGCAAACATATATTGTTGGAAAAAGATGAACATTATTAGCCCATTCTAGTAATAATATATTATATTGTATGTTTAGACATTTACTTTGGAGGGAACTGTGGGGTAAATGTTTAGACATTTATGGGGAGGGATAGCTCAGTGGTTTGAGCATTGGCCTGTTAAACCCAGGTTTGTGAGTTCAATCCTTGAGGGGGCCACTTAGGGATCTGGGGCAAAATCAGTACTTGGTCCTGCTAGTGAAGGCAGGGGGCTGGACTCTGACCTTTCAGGGTCCCTTCCAGCTCTATGAGTTAGGTATATCTCCATATATTATATTTTTTATTATAACTAGAGGAATAAGGGACTAAGAGGCTCAAACTATACAATTAACAGCAGGTGCCAGGGTTCTCGTGGGTATGCATTTGCAGAGTGAGATGTTTTGATTTCCAGAACTCACTCCTGCTCTCTGCTGCACACAGACTGTACCGAAGGGTATGTCTATACTGCGACCGCACCTCGAGCGGACACACCCGAGCTAGGTTTAATCTAGTTAGCTCGGATCCTGGAATAAGGAAGCTGCAGGGTGACTTCAGCGCAGTAATTATCTAGGGGGCCGGGTGGGTTTCAGCCAGTACTGAAGTCTGTGCTGCCACAGTTTCACTGTTCTGGGACCCGAGCTAGCCTGGGTACATCAATTCAAGCTGTAATCACAGCCTACGACTGCCGCACAGACATACCCAGAGAAAGAACCTACTGACATTGTGATGTCGGTGTTGGCCTACACCAAAGCCTGCATCCTCCCCAGAGCTCGGTAGTGTTCGATTTACGAGACGGGAGGCCAGGTTCTTTGATACACTAAGGCCATTTGTACAGGTCTCTTCCTGCTCTAAATTCTCTTTGAATTACGAACTTGCCTCGCTGCAGCCCATCTCTCTAGTATGTCTGAGCAGAGTTCTAACGCAACGGAGAATCAGGGCTGGCCAGAGGTTGGTTGAGGTCTGTCTCTATTCAAAGGCTCAAGAAACCTTCACTGTGTGGACGCTTGGAACCAGAGGACAAGACACAGGAGAACGTGGTTTGGAATTGTTTATATACTTAAACCAGACCTGTCAGCACTCCAAGAATGCCAAGCCAACCTGCACCCTGCCCGGCTGTCTTGCTTTAGGGAGGCATCACAGGTGCGTCCTATCAGTGCTCAAAGTCCTTGCTTCCCCCCCTACCCCGTCAAATCAAAGCAATTTCTCACTAGCTGGATTTTGATATCATTTTCTGTGAAAGCTGCACAAGGACTGGCCTGCATAGGGGAGTGCCCGTCTGGTTGTTTCTGGACAGCCTCTGTTCCCGCAGCTGTGAACAACTCTAAGTGCCTGCTCTACCCACGTGGCGGGAAATATTTCTAATTCACAGCCTTAGCTCAAATGAGCCGTCCTCCTCATTATGTATTGAGGTATGCCAGTGTCCATTAGGAACCGTATGGCAGGCAGAGGGTCTGAGCATATACTCCCCTGCACCTTTGTAAAGCAGAACCGACCCTGCTCAAGTCAGCGGAGAGCTTTTGGTTTTTTAGCTCCTCCCTCCTTAATTTTCCATCAGGCCCAAGAATGGCAATATCCCTCCCCTCTTGCTGAAGGCAGCCCCCTTGGGGGTTTGCCAACACCTCTGGGAGTGCAGGTTGCAGAGGGGCTCTCAAAAGCAGGGGGTTCTTCCACTCTGTTTTTCACATGGGGTGTCCAAAGCACCCACAGCCCCTGCTGGCCCAGAGAAGTGCCCTAGCTGATTTCTGGCTGCTCCTAAAGCCAGACTGATGTGGCACCTGCAGCAATAAGGCAAGAGGAGAATAAAAAAATGTTAGCGCAGCATGTGACCTAAATGGGTCAAGTATCCTGAATATTGTTCTGCGAATGCTCCCTAACGAAGTCTGTGTCCTCTTGGGGAGAGCTGGGGTGCTGACTCCATCAATGGAAAGAGAATCCCTGCAAGGTGGCGGCGTCCCTTTAAAAAAACAACAACAACAGAGCACTCCCTTCCTAGAAGTGTGTGATGAGAGCCACGGATGGCAACGGCACCATTACGAGCAGGGCAGTTATGATGGATTTCAGCGAAGTTGGCAGCCAAAGCACAGGGACTGTACATCTCAGAAGTAGCCTTCACAATGGAGCCTTTTTATTCAGGACCCTTTGAGAGGTGCCGAGTTGCAATTTCATAGGCTGCAATTACTCCCGGCATCTGTTATTTTGCTTCCTTGAAAAGAGCTTGTGAAATGTTCTAAACGGTTTATGGACGACGGCTGCTTCCGCGGAAGGAAAAACAGGGTGGTTTTTTTTGACTACATATATATTTATTCAAAAAAACCTAACAGTGCAAATAGCTCAAGAGCTCTTCTGTTATCGCGTTACCCCCAGTCAAAGGGGAGACAGGCTGCCCTGAGGATGAGAGAGCTTCACCCAGGCTTCTGCAGGAAGTCATGTTAGTGATTCAATGGGTGACATTTTCCCTATTCATCAGCATTCATACTGTTCTCCAGCACAGCATCTAGGGTGCACCAGCGTGAGCCCAGCATGGCATCTAGGTTGCACCGGGATCCTAGAGTGCCGTCTGTTGTAAGAAACATAAAGCCGAGGATCTGACTGTAACAGCAACCGTTAGTCAGTGGATACTGGCACCCATGTCAGCTAACTTGGGCCAGGAAATAAAGTTCAGTCTCCCCCCAGTGCTCCTGTGTGTCACACCCAGGATTACCAAACACCTGTGATCAATCGAGAACACACAGCTCTTTCCATACAGATTTGCTATTTTCCTTCACTTTCCGTCCCACGCTGCTTTGTAACGTTACCATGCCTGAAGGAAACAGGTGCCAGGTTCCACAGGTTGCCTTCACTGAGGGTAAAAACGGTTCCTGTATATACGGCTTGAAAAGCAATTTGGAACCTGTCCAGATGAACGTAACTGCGGTTTTCACTGCTTCTGTACAACAGCCCTGTATCTCTGGGGCTCGATCAGCTTCTTTTTTAAACTACAAATTATAAAGGACTTTGGGCCAAGTTCATCTCTGCTGTAACTTCATTGAAAGTAACAGAGTTACGCCACGGACCACTTTGACCCTGTGCATTAAGCACCGAGTGAGTAAAAACGGCAAGGAATCCTGTGATTTGTACGTAGCATTGGATGTGAAGCTTCCTCAGTGAAGAAGTAGAGAGTGAGTAAGCACATGTGGTGTCAACACATTAACGCACCTTAAGAGCTAAGATCAATTCTCAGAGAAAACTTCCCGTCAGCCTGCAACGCTCACGAGAATGGGAGATTCACAGACGAGCCATTTGCAGAGAGACCATGCCAAGAGCAGAAGGGTTTGGACTGCATAATGCAGAGCAGCTGATGGGAATTGGATTATTCTGGAGGGAAGAGGGAAATGGAAGTGGTGGGTGGCCAAGAAGGGCGGTAAACCGCACAGTGAAATTGTTAAGCAGGTTCTCGCTTCTGCGAGAGACTAAAGGAGGGAAGTTGTACACGCGTATCGAGCAGAAAGAAGTGAAAAGCCAAGGCTGCTGGACCAATACTTTTAGCGATGTGGAGATGGGAGGAGAACTGAGCTAAGGAAGAGGTAGGGAGTAGTGGTAGGGTGATATTAATTAATAATGGGCACCTGTCAATCAGCCTCCTGGGTGCCAAAATAATCATCATCATCAGGGTGGCCAAGGTCCTGGAGGGACCTGGGGATGAGGCAATAGTCTAGTGGAGCCCTGAGAGGGATTTAAGTAGGAGGCCCTGCAAACCAAACTACGCGAGGAAGTCACATGAAGAAAGGCACTTCTGGGTCGGAGTTCTTAGAATGACTGTAATATCTGAACTGGGTCTAAGGCAAAAAGGTTCAAAACTGGATGAGCGTCTGAAAAATTGGTGTATACACATGAATTGTTGGCTTTAATGGCACTCCAGTGAGGGTTGTGTATTTGCTAGTTTTTAGGAACAAATGAGGCCTATAAAAGTGGGATGGGCTCCATCTGCACAGAAAGGGCATGCATACACTAGTAATGGGGAGCTCTGTTTGTGGGAGTGGTGGAGATTAAACTAGCAGACAAGGGAGGAGGAGACATCAAGGAGCCATACTGCAGCCAGCAAAAAGGAAGAAAGCTAAAATAAACAGAGAGGTGGGCAAGGCAGAGAGAGAGACAGTCTAAACCTGTACGGGGAAGACTCGGGAACAGGAACTGAATACCTGCAGGGCGAATAGCTTTCAGCCCAGCAGTAACAAACCAAAGCAAAATTCCTAGGGGACCCTGAGTTAATAAGTACAGGTGGAAGGAGATGTTTCTCTGAAACTTTTAGGTAGTGACAGAGTGATATCTGGGAATTTGTATCCAGCCCTGAGCAATGGAAAACATTATAGAAATGGGGAAGATACTGAACAGCCGTGAGAGCAGAATGAATGGGGACTGGAACATGTCCTACTTGTTTAGGAATGGTCTTAGCGTCCAATGCAAGAGCAATTGAAGGAAAGAAACAGACAGACACTACAGGCCTGATCCAAGGCCCACTAGAGAATCCAAGTGATTTTAATGGGCACTGGATTGGGACCTACAGGAATTAAGGTGAGAGAGTCGGTAATAAACAAAAACTCTCCAGGGCAGGAACAGGAGGACCAGGATAGGGCTAGGAGATGCACAGAGGTTAGACACGTCGTTATAAGAGAAGCTATTGAAGAGAATCATTTCTTACTCAAAGAAGTGGGGATGCGCTTCAAGAAGAATTCTTCCATAATCCCGGACCTGAGAAGTCCCTAGGTAGGGCCCGATTCTGCAAAGTGCTGGGTGCTGTTCAGGAGGATCTGCACCTCCTGCAAGATCAGGACTCCAACTAGCCAGTACACCTTTGGAAACCCTGGAACAGCAGTAGGGGAACCCTGCCATTCCCCTACTGATTAGAGAGTTTGCAATCCCCTATCACCTCTGCTCTCTTTAGGTGGTTGCTTGATAGCTGGGCTGGGCAGTCACAGGTCTCATTTTCAAGTGATGATACCCAGAAGTACCTGTTCTCCCCCCCGCCCCCAATCACCGGTGTTTTCCTTGCTTTATTTTGTGAGAAGAGGGGACTTGCAATATGTTTCTGATGCATAATAATGTTAATATAATTAGGCAGCTTTCAGCTAGAAAAGGGTTTTAAAAAATGGGGGGTCCAGATGAGACCTTCAAAAACATCAAGTGCAGGTAGGTGCCCAAATCCCCTGGAATTTCAATAGTTTTTGGGCATCTACCTCAGTTAGAGTCACTGGAAAACTGCTGCCTAATTGTGTAATCATTTTTAAACAAACCCCACTGGGGCTGGGTGTGAGCATCTCTTACTTATGCAAAAGAAATAAAGCACAGAATTTTTATATTATTCACCATGGCCCAAACTAAGTCCTGGCATAAATGTTTGCAATTCCTTTGGAACTGCTGACACCAGAGCTGACTGTGGTCCACAGCGAATAATACAGCACATTTCTGCAGACTTTTTTTGCATAAGTAACGTTATGTGCTGGGATAACATGAAGGTAGTTTGCTGTTGTTGGCTTTGATGAGAAATGAGCCAAGACTGAAATATGTGAGCTGATGTCCAGCGTTAACCTCTTCTACCCACTGCAGTCTTCTCAGCTGTGCGGTGGGGCAGGCCTGGCTTTCAGCTGAGGGACTGCTATCGTAGAAACAGCTCCGCAGCATTGCTTTCCGGGCAGGACAGGCCAAATTTTGCACAAACATCCCTTTTCCTGGTGGTACAGCAAGCAGTCCTGGGGGCCTCTAAGCACTGGCGCTGGAGCACCGTGCATCAGACCTGATTTGTTGGGTGCTAATGTCTGAAGGGGACAGAAGCTGCCAGATGTGTAAGGGTACACAGCAGCTGAAGGTGTAATTTGCAGGTTGGAGAGATGTATGCACGCTAGCTTTGATCAAACTAGTGCACTATAAATAACAGCGTGGCTGCGGCACAGGCTAGCCACCAAAGTACATACCCTGGGTCTCAGATGGGATTGTACTCAGGGGGCTACCACTGCTGTTTTTAGCACACTAACTCGGTCAAAACTAGCGCCTCTTGTCTATGCGAGCTGGAAATAAGGAGCTGCAGGACAGACACTCAGTCTTGATCAAAAGCCCTGCTCTGCACCATTTCAGTACGACCACGAGAGGATCAGCCCACACGCATGTGGCCGTGTATATTTATCAGCAGATGGTGATAACAGGGGCCTGTTTCTCTGGAAACCAGCTTAGTGAATCTCATCTTTCATAGAACCTAATCATTTCAGAATGACTTTTCAAGTCCGCCCAAGCAAGTCTCAAGACTTCGCCAAGGAAAATTGTTTCGGAATAATGACAAATTTAAATACAAGTAGATGTACAAACATGCTGAAGCGGGCAAAGAATCATGCAAGTAACATCCTCCTTGCTTTCAGTTCCCGATTTTGCTTCTATTTCCTCATGTTAAAAATGATCAGAAAGCTCCAACTCCCATGGTACCTGCCTGTTCAGATGGGGACATTTTAATTAGTTCCATAACCTCTCCCAGGCTCTCAAGGGCTGTGGTTACATCCCAAGGCTGGCTGTAGAACTGGCCTGCCCAACAGATCTTGTTGAGAGGCTAAAAACAAGGGAGACAAGATGGTCATGAGAATCAGGAATTCCCTTTAACTGCCCTCCAGATCTCCCCTCTGGGGATAACTCCACAGCGGTCTCTGCTGACAAATGGGGGATCAATCGAGACGGGCCAAAAAACCACGGGAAAAAAAAAGTGGTGAGGAACTATATAGAAAGTTGGTGAATTTACCATCAATGATGACAGCTGTCAAGAGGCTTTTCTTCTTGTTGGTATATCTGTCATGAGACTGGCATTGCTGGTCCCTGAAGCTAGGCGCTCCTTTAGGGCAGGGTAAATTTTCACAAACTGTGTGTTCCACACTGGCTCCCCGGCAGTTCTTGCCTCCTGGCCCAGGGCTATAATGGGGAAGACAGACCAGTTATCAAGTGGGAGAGGCACAGGTATTTACAGGTACACTGTCGCTTATCTTTCTCTGTCCAAGGCAACTACTCTAAGCTAATAGATTGCGCCATTCCCCTCAGAGATCCCAACTGCACACGTACTTACCGTCGGCCAAATTCTGCCCTCGGATATTCAAGTAGCTCCCACTGAAGGCAACACAAGCTTTGAGAGCACATCTGAAGACAGAATTTAGCTCTATGTTGCACATCTAACTGACTCATCAGAAACTGCCATTTGGAAACAAAGATTAAAGCCAGGTCTTTGGAGAGATGTGCTCTGTAGGCATAAATATAATGCTGTCCATACTATATGTATTTTGGATGAGATGTAAAACCAAGATGCTAGTCCATTGTGGTCATTAATAGCCCACATGTAAGCTGGTGGGCTTGTTGGTGGGGGAAATGATCAGCCCGTGCCTCAGTGTGATGCTTCACAGGGGTAGCCACGATCGTGAGGCACCTCTCTACCACCTGCCCTTCATAAATAAAACATCTTAGAAACACAAAGGAGGATTTCTGAAGCCCATGTTATAATACAGACATTTATCACATCCTTTCTGAAGTCTCATTTCTTTCTCATAGACTCATAGACTTTAAGGTCAGAAGGGACCATTATGATCATCTGGTCTGACCCCCTGCATGCTGCAGGCCATAAAACCGTCCCTACCCCTTCCCTGGACTCTGCTGCTGAAGTCCCCAATCCTGTGTTTTAGTGACTTCAATCGGCAGAGACCCTCCTGCTAGTGATCCCTGCCCCATGCTGCGGAGGAAGGCGAAAAACCTCCAGAGGCTCAGCCAATCTACCCTGGAGGAAAATTCCTTCCCGACCCCAAATATGGCGATCAGTAAGAACCCGAGTATATAGGTAAGAGTCTCTAGCCTGACCCCTGTTAGCCATTATACTATTTACCTACCATTGCTTGGTATTCCTTGACTACTATGTTTCACCATTAAACCATTCCCTCCATAAACTTATCTAACTTAATCTTAAAACCAGACAGGTCCGTCGCCCCCACCGTTTCCCTCGGAAGGCCGTTCCAATATTTCACCCCTCTGACGGTCAGAAACCACCCCTCTTTCTCTTTTAGGCACTTTTCCCCTTGAGAAACAGGGAATCAAAATATACAGCAAGAACAGTATGCATGGTGCTAGGCCATGTGATCACAAAGAAAAGATACACTGAAATCCAACAAATATCTCTCTGTATTTTTTTTCCCAATCCCCACACTTCTCAGGACCCATTCTCCCACCAATTTGGAACAAATGTAACATAAAAGCTCCAGCTTCAGCATAAAAGTAGTCTTTTCTAATGTCCATTTCCTCATTGAAAAAAATATTACAGGTGAGCCCGCCCTCAGTTCCTTCTCCAACCAAACATCCCTAAAGGCCCGAAAGCAAAAGGATAGGAGGGCAGGTAGTGGAACACCCATAGAGGGACATAGCTTGAAGAACAGCAGTTATTGCACAAAGTGAGCAACCTCTTCTCCTTAGAGTAGCACCCCTATGGGTGCGCCATTTCCGGTGACTTCTGAGCAGTATTCCCAGATGGAGGAGGGAGCTTCAGAACGAAGTCCAGAACTGAAGACAGTACTGCAGAACCAAGTGCCATGGATTAAGGCATAAATGTTTCGAAAATGAATGTACTGACACCCGTGTAGTGGCCTGGCATATTTCAGATACTGGTACAGTCTTCTGTAATGTTGTAGATCAGGTTAGTCAATTATTTTTTTCAAGATCCAAATTTCTTGGTCAAGGTATAGTCAAGATCCAAACTCCAGAGAAGAAAATAAAAAAACAACAATAATAATAAATAAATAAAAAGATTTTGGGGGTCTATTCAAAAGCATCTGGCGGTCTGCCATAGATGTTGCTGAGATCTAGTTGAATGTGCTATCCACCCTTTGGGGCGGATGAATGCCTGCAGCATCATAACAAGTGAGAATACATCCAGATATTCTCTGGATAGTCTCTCAATAGAGCTCAAGGACCCCTGTGGATCTTTCCACAAAGGAAACGAAGCACTGAGGTGACTTCCTAAACTGCTTGGTTATATCTAAGTAGGAGGCCAATTCTCTTCTAACATCCAGGGTACGTAAATAAGATTCCTGTAGAGAACGATGTGGCTTTGCGATAAACACTGATGAATGGATTGATTAAGGTGGAACTCTGATAGAACCTTAGGTAAGAATTTAGGGTGGGGATGAAAAGAAACCTTGTTCTTAAAAAACACCATAAAGGGGGCGGAATCTACCACCAAGGCTCCAATCTCCCTAATGCTACAGGCTGATGTGATGGCAACTAAAAAAGCCATCTTTATGGATAAATGCAACAGAAAACAGGCTTCCCTTGGTTCAAATGGAGGTATCATAAGGTAAGAGTACCAGGCTGAAGTTGCAGTTTAGGGAAGGGTTTCTCATCTGTGGACAGAGAATCCCCAAACCCTTAATAAACAAGGACAATACCAAAAAAGCAAATATGGAGAATACTTCTACTGGAGGTGAAAGGCTGATATTGTGGTCAAATGGACCTTAATCAAACTAATGGATAACCCTACAGATAATCCTACAGGTAATCCAGGATGATTGAGAGTGGCACCGGATCAAGCAGGAGACAGTGACAACAACGCCAATGGAAGAATCTCTTCCATTTCTGCAGGTAAGTAGTGCAGATTAATCTCTTCCTACTATTCAATAACACCTGTTGTACTTCCAAAGAGCAGGAGGAATGTAACCCCATGAACCATCTAGGAGCCATGCCCTGAGGTGGAAAACTGCTAGGTTGGGATGAAGCACCCGACCAGCATCCTGTGACAGGAGATGAGGAATGGTTGGGAGCTCAAACAACACTTTGACAACTAGGTGAAGCAGGTAAGGATACCAAACTTGTCTTGGCCAGGTCAGCACTATAAGGATAATTCTGACTCTGTCCTGTCTGATCTGTTAATCTCCCTTAGGGTACATCTTCACTACCCGCTGATACGGCAGGTAGCAATCAATTTATCCGGGATCGATATATTGCGTCTCGTTAAGACACAATATATCGATCCCCGAACGCGCTCACCGTCGACTCCGGAACTCCATCAGAGCGAGCGGCGGTAGCGCAGTCGACTGGGGAGCCGCGGCCATCGATCCCGTGCTGTCTGGACCCCAGGTAATTCGATCCAAGATACTTCGACTTCAGCTACGCGAATCAGCTACGCTATTCGTGTAGCTGAAGGTGCGTATCTTGGATCTATCCCCCCC